GGGCCCCCACTACCTGAAGGAAACGGGTGAGGGGAGCTGCAGGGAGAAAGCCCAGGAATCGGGCCTCTTGGGGATGGTACCCCAGCATCCACAGGTGATGAAGGGAAAGCCCAAGGCCAAAGACTCACAGGATTGTCACACACACGCACATACACACGCGCCTGGCCCCAGCTATCTCACGGTTTGTCTTCCAAAGCTGTGTGTCCGGGGTTACACAGCCTCTCTGTGCCTGGCTCGAATGTGAGAGGTAACACCTGAGCCTATCCCGGAGCACTTCACACCTACGTGTGGGCTCCACTTCTGTGTCTGCAGGGCATGATGGGACTCCACGGGCAGGCCGGGCCAGGGTGGGGAGGCGCTCAGAGCCTGTGCTGCTCAGCTGGCCTCAGGCGGCCTCGTGGTCGGACCCCACATCCAGCACAGCAGATTCTAGTTTCAGTAATGTACACGCGGGGCTGTGGTTGCTCACATAGGAACGAGCTCGGAGCACAGTACAGAGTGGGCCAGGCCTGGTGCCAGGAAAGCAGCGGATTAATATTTGAGATGAGAAATTACCCACCACTGGGAAACCAATTAGGTTCCTGATCCGAGTGTGTCACAGAGATGGAAATGGATGTGTTCTGGGCCTTTCCGCTGGGTGCAAGGCACATTTCAACTCACGGGGAAGCAGCCAGGGTTGGGAGAGGGCGGGGAGGATGCTCTCCCTTCTGCCCGTCAGCACTGCCACCGCCTCGAGGTCTTCTTCTCACTTATGCAGGTTTTGGGGCGCAAGGCTGTCAAGGAAAGGACAGAGGGAGCAGAATCAGTCACTCAGGTCTTCAGGGGAAATCCCACCACTCAGGCACCTGGCATGCTGGGCCTTTCCTAGGCCTGGAGTGCTCTGACGTGCCACCCAGGCCTTGCCTGCATTCCCGGCACTGGCCTCCCCCTGGACACCCTCTCCTTGGTGCAGTCCCTGGCACAGGGCAGCACCCCTGGAACAACGCCTCTGCCCTTCACTGCTCTTGACCTCCCCACAGCACCCGTGCCGCTCGGCTCCAGGAAAGCAGGTCTGTCTGCCCCTCCGAGGCCTGAGCAGGCACTGGCTGAAGGAAGGACTGGCAGGTGGGCAGATGGGTGTGCATGGTCCCAGACCTAAGTCCCATGTGGAGCCAGGGGTGGGGCTGGGCAGGGAAAGGTGCCGACCTGGATCTGCGACGCTCGGATTCCTCTCGGAGTTGGTGACGATCTGGTTCTCGTTTATCATCTGGATGTCCTGGTCCTCCACCTGACTGCTACGGGCAGGAGGCACAGTGGATTGGCTCGGGCTGTGGGCTGCGTTGGGCCTCCGGTGGGGAGGCGTGGGTGGGCTGGGGACGCACCTGATGGCTGTGCGCTTCTCCTGGTGACAGATGTCCACATCTTCGGTGAAGAGGATGGTGTGGTAGGGCATGGTGGGCTTGCACGTGGGCAGGATGCCCCCTGCCAGGTGTGTCACCATGGCCAGGATCCCGTTGTACACGAGCAGGTCGTCCACGAGGAGCTGGGCAGATACAGGAGGTGCTGAGGGACACCCCCCCCCGCCTCGGGCTAGGCACGGCTTTGCCTCAGGGACAGGGCCAGCCCAGTCACACCAGCCCGCTGGCACTGTGACCCAGGCTGCAGGAGGAAGCTGGGGCTCGAGGCTCTTGGCCACCAGCCTCACCCCACCCCACTCCCAGCCCGGCACCTCTGCAGGGAGCTGGGTGTGCCCAGCCACCTCCTGTTTGCTAGGAGTCAGCTCGCCCTGGGGCGGTTTTGGCTCCACAGTTGGGTGGAAATTCTGCCCGCATCCCAGCGCTAGGTGTTGTGTCTAAACTAAGGTTGCAACAGAGGGAAGTAAATCAAACTGCGACAAATGATAATTGCCAGCGGCCTAATTACCAACACGCATAATTATCTCCAAAACCCAGCTAATAAGTACTTACACCGAATTCCTTCACCCCTCGCTGGGGCGTTTTTGCGTAATTCCACAGTTTGATCATTGACACGGTGGTGGGCAGATCGAAAATCACGTAAACCCGATTCACCTGCCAGAGAGCAGTGCTAATTAAACAGGCAGGTTTGCAAACAGGTGCTGGCGGGGCTGGGTGCCAGGCAGGGCCAGGCCACAGGCACCCAGGGCAGAGGCTGGAGTCCTGCAGCCTTTCATCTCCGAGCCATCTCCAGTCAGGTCACGTGTGGCTGCGATTGCAGCAAACAGCTGAGCTGGCTCTTGGAGGGCCTGTCTTCCTGGGCCATGTGGCCCTCATTTAAACGTGGGGGGCATGGGGAACGGCCTCGGCCTGCTGGCTCCAGGTCAGCCCAGGTCCCATGCACTGCTCCGTGGGCACTGAACCGAGGAGCACTGCCCTGGGCACCTGCAGTGTCCTTTCCGGGAAGCAGAAATGCAAAGCCCAGCAGAGGCCTGGAGGCGCCCTCGCTCATTTCCGGCACGGGGTGAGGCAGCCAGCTCAGGTCAGACCCGGCTGCAGCAGTGGCCCAGGCAGACTCGCTTTTCCTCACCTCCCTCGTGAGGCCAAATAGAGCAGCTTTCTGGAGGGTTCTCGACTGAGGGACACAGCCTCTGGCTGTGCCAGGGAGCCAGTGGGGGCCGGGACTGGTCACCCTCTTCCCGGGAGGAAGACACGAGTGTGGGGTCTCTGGGGCTGGAGCACCACTGGCCTTCCCGGGGCGCTCCAGCTCACAGTGGGGCTAGGGGATGGGGCTATAGGGCCAGCCCAGCTCAGGGGACACCAAGGGACTCCCCGGCCCCTTTGAGGGTGGCCTTCGACAAACATCAGTAGCGAAGTCGCTGCCGCCGCCCCTTTCTGTGGTGCGGTGGGTGGGAAGGACAGGCCAGCTCTCCCCACAGTGCACCTGGGCATGGGTACCCACCCAGGGATGAGAGATGGGGGTGCTGGCCCACCTGTCCCCAGCCCGCCCCCGTCATACTGCCACCCCAGGTCTGGCGGTGAAGGCCGGCTCTAGGCTCGCCATATGGCCTCAGACGGAGCACAAGCAGGACCTTTGTGGGCTTGACAGTGGGAAACTTGAGTCAGCAGTGAGAAGAGCAGACCAGGCAGATCCTGGGTCAGAGAGCAGCCAGGGTGTCAGGAAGGGGAGACGGAGTGGGGGCCAGGCTGGCAGGAGGTGGGCAGCGCACTGCAGAGAAGTGAGACCAGCGGGTGCCCGTGCCTCCAGCCTGCTCCCCTGGGGACCCTGGCTGCAGACTCCCATGTGTCCCCAACCTCCCGGAGCCCCGCTCAGGAGCCCCTCTCCAAGCAGAGAGAAATGCTGCTCACAGGAGCTGCCCCGCAGGCACTGCAGCAAAGCAGCCTGCCCTGTCCCGGAAGAGAAGCAGGACGCAGCACTAATGCCAGGGACAGGGTCCCCCACCGCCTCGAGGCCAGAAGCCAGGGTACCCACCAGGCCTGGCAGGATGGGTGCCAGCCACATGTGCCTGCCGTCTCTGGTGTCGTTCACCTGGTCGATGAGCTTGTCAGGGGTCCTCACGTCCCCGCACACACCCTCCAGCACGTTCACGCTGTCCGGGAAGGCGGCAATGTCTGCACAGTGGCTAAGGGGCCGTAAGCCAAAGCCGCATGTGGGGCCGCTGCCCCAAGCAGCCGGGAGCCGCAGCCAGCCCGGACCCGTTGTGGGAAGCGAGGGTTTTGGGTGCATGGAGGGCATCTGCACCCGGGCCCCAGAGGGAAAGGGCGCTTCTCCGTGGGCCAGTGCCATGCGTGTCTCCTCTCTACGGGGTCAGGGGTGGCTGTGTGACCAGGCCAGGCCTTGTTGCTCTGCGGGAGGGGCAGCCTGGCCTACTGGGCGAGGGGCGCCACTGTGACCTGCTTGGCTGTTAGGATGGGCAGGGGGAGCTTGGGGAAGCCAGGGACACGGCCGGGCCTCTTTCCTCATCCGTGAAGCAGGCATAAAAACTTCTAGTCAGAAGACAGGTAGATAGACATGAAAGGACAGGCTGTGACACCCTCCTGGTAGTCACCGGTGCCTTATGCACCCAAGCAACTAGTGGTGATGACTGAAAAAAGCCGGTCAGCACAGCCAGCTGTGGTGGTACACACCAGCAATCCCAGCATTCTGGGAGGCTGAGGCAGGAGGACTGCAAGATTGAGCACAGCCTGGCAACTTAGTGACTCAGAGAAACCCTGTCTGCAAATAAAAAAGGGCTGCTGGGGACGTGGCTCAGGCCCTGGGTCAACCCCGGTACCAAAAATGAAAAAGAAGTCAAACCAGGACCACCCATCCCTAGTGGCTGGGGACAGGGGCTGGCTTTGGCCGGTGGTGGCTCGGAGCTCATGGGCCCCGGAGCACAGGGCCGCAGCAGGTTGCATAACCAGAGCAGCTGGGCAGCCGGGTGGTTAGGACCCACACTCCGAGCCAGGCCCACGGGCTGCACGGCCTCAGGGAGCCGTGTGCTGCTCGGTGCCTCGGGGTGCTCCTCCGTGAAGCAGGGACACCAACAAACCCCCTTCAGGGCTGCCATGCGGCGAACGAGCCCACAGCACACGTGAGCGACGCGTCTGGGGCCTGAGGAGGTAGGAGTGCGTTCCTGGAGGAGGGAAGCGGCTCTTGGTTCAGCACCACCGCCATGTGGCCGCTGGCCCTGCCCTGCCAATTTCTCAAGAGAAGCCAGGGATCAGGTTTTTCTTTAAAAAGCGGTGGCAACTAACTTAAAATGCTTCAGAACTCACTGGGCTGGCAGCCTGCCAGGTCCGGTGTGGGCATACCACAGCAAGGGTCCCACGACTAACAAATCCAGACAGCACGGAAGGGTGCCCCCTGCAGACCTTGTCAGAGCCTTTAGGACCCCACAGCCCCTCTGGTTCTCAGGCAGGGGCTGTGGGATCTGCCCAGGCAGGTACGCCGGAGGCTCCTCTCTGTTTTCCTCCCCCGAAGGCCCTAAGCAGAGCCCAGCAGCACTTCGCCCAGCAGATTCCCCACTGGCCCCAAAGGATACTGCTCTCTGACAGGGGGATCCTCTCCCCTCTCTGGTCGTACAGCTCCAGCCCGGTGAGGCCAATGTAGTAGGGGTCGGCCCAGCTGGTGAGGAGCTGGAGCTGGAAGATGACTGGTGGCGATTAAGGAAAAGGGAGCCCGAGCTTTGGAGAGCACCGCAGAGCTGGGACACAGGTGACAGGACCTTGGGGTCACACTGACGAGGCGTGGGGGGCGCTTTGCTCTCTTGGAGACGTGAGCTCGTCAGTGCGCGTGCGCGCGCGGTGTTTATACCGCCAGGGGGCTGCACGGGCTCAAAGCCCGAGGGCACAGAGCAGGCATGGCGACAACACAGCTGTGTTGCCGGCTGACTGGCTGGGGCTGAATGAAGGGCTCTCGTCTCCTGCCTCAGTTTCCCTGGCTGTAAAAGGACCAGATCAGAGCACCGGCTGCCCTGCCCGTGCTGTCCTGTCATGGTTGCATCTGGATGTCCCCACCGCCTCCCGAGCTCAGGGGGGACCTTCCAAGGTGACCGAATCATGGGTGCTGCAGCAGAAGGCGGCCTTGGCAGGTGGGGTCTGCGGAGGTGGCCGTGGGTCTCCGGGAAGGGTGCGTCCCCGCTCCTCCCTCCTCTGCCTCACTGCCGCCCGGGGTGGGAGCAGCTCTCCTGCGTCCAGGCCTCCTGCTGTGCCTGTCCTGTTTCAGCCTCAGTGCAGACTGGCATTTCTAAACGGTGAGCCAAAATAAACCTCTCCCCCAGAGGGGCAGGTGTCCCGGCCGCCGAAGCGTGCAGGGCCTTAAGAGGCAGCAGGAGGGCTGGGTGCGGCAGGGACAGGCACTGCGCAGGATTGAGCCCTCCACTGCCAGCTTCCTGCCCACTCCGGCTCCCAGTGGGGAAGTGGGGGACTCCCGGGCACAGGGGGGGCTGCAGGTGATCCTTCCAGAACAAGACAGCTAGAAACAGGGCTGCAGAGCCGACTGCCAGGTGCGCCAGCCCCATCTGCCCTTCCCAGCTGTGCAGTCCTGGGCAAGTCACTTGACCTCTCTGTGTCCGTGCCCTTAGCTGTGGGGCGGGGATGCCGCAGTGCCCAGCACCCAGAACCCAGGGCTGCCAGGGGCCGGGACACTGGAGCTCTGCTCTTCCTGTCCCCGTGCTCCCTGCCTGGTCCAGGGCCAGCTTCAGCTTCTGCTGCCCTGCAGGCTGGGTCCCACGGGCTGCCTCTGGCCAGTCAGGGTCACTGCTGCTGCCTCCCCCGACAGCACCCAGGGGACCAGGTCCTGTCCTCTGCTCCACTCACAGTGGTGGCGGGAGAAGGATACATCCGCAGGGCATGGGAGGGGTCTCGTAGTCCATGCTCGCCTGCCCCAGGCTTCTGGTGTCCAGCCTGGAGAAGCAGAGCACTGTCACCCCCAGCGCCCGAGGCCACTGGTTGGTCCCTCACCCCGGCAGTGAACGCTGCAGCGAGTGCCCCCACCCTCTTCCCGGGGAGGCTCAGCGCCCCGAGGGCGGCCACCAGCAAAGGGAGCTGCTCCTCTGATGCGGACCCTTCACCCTCAACAGCCAACACCCCGGTGTGGACAGGGCTGTGGGGCACAGAGGGCCAAGCGTGTCTGGGTGCTGTCCACGCCCTGACCCCTCTGCCTGCTCCTTCACTGGGCCGGCAGAGGCCAGGCTGGTGACGGGTGGCTGGGTGGGGCCGGCAAAGGCCCGAGGTGGGAGGGAGCTGAGGGAAGGGTGCTGTTTGGACAGGAAGCAGCCAGAAGAACCTGAATGCAGGCAGGATGAGGGTGGAAGGGAAGGGGCGCAGAGGTGGAGCAGCCCGTGGGCTGTGGCTCTGGGAACATGAGCAAATGGCTTCCCACAGAGAAATGGGCACAGAGTCCTCCTGCCAGGGGCTGGAATGTGCCTCAGAGGAACTCAGAGAGCACCTGGGCCAGGGAGGAAGAGCTGTCCACCACCCCCAGCTCCCTCGCTGGTCTTCAGTCCACAAGGTCAAGGGCAGTGTGACAGTTAAGTGACTGCAGGAAGGGAAACTCGTCCATTCGGAGAGGTCGGCCTCAGGCACTCGGGCACTGGGAGTTTAAATGAGCAAACGTAACGCGCATTTACAAATCCTTATGAACTCCAGCGGCACAGACCGGCCAGAAAACCCCAACGAGCCTATGAAATGTGAGGCTCTATTTTTCTCTTTTGAGTCTTTTAAAATAGCACAGAAACAAGAGAAGGGAAGCCCTCACCCGAGCTGGCCAGCGGGCATTTCTGGAGTCCAGTCGGGCTGTGGCCTCTTTTCCCGGCAGGAGGTGCAGTGAAGCATTTAGAATCTTAAGCACTCCAGACCGGGAAAACCCAAACAGCCAGACCAGCAGCGGCACCGCCCACAGGCTCTGCGAGCTTTAGGAAGCGCTGCGTTTGACCGCTGTTATGGGAGCCTTGGGCTGCACTTCAGAGTGGTGCAGGCTGGGGGGCGCCTGGCTCCGGGCCGCTCACCTACTGGCCGGTGGGGGCAGCGGCCGAGCCTGCAGGTAGTCCACAAACAGTATTTCTTGAGCGAAATCAAAATGGCAGTTGCCGGGGCCCTTCCGGATGAGGAAGCCGTCAGCAGGAGAGATGCGCAGGCCGTCCAGGGACACATGCACGATCTTGGCCTGGCACAGAGACACAGCTCGCTGGAGACCTTCCGAGCCCCACCAGGCCCACGGGCCCGGCCCCCGCCCCAGCGTCTGCCCCACTTCCTGCCAGGTGTGGCGCCCCACGCCGGCAGAGGGCAGACAGCCAGAGGGACTGGCCTGGCCTCCAGCTGACAGGGCCACACCCGTGTCACCAGAGGCAGTGGCTGCGGCATCACAAGGCGCGGCTCAAGGGCCTGGGCTCCTTGTGTGCCGATGGCGGAGCCTCCCTGTGCCTCGCTTCCCCACCGTTAAATGGGCACAGCAGAGTTAACTCTCGAAACACAACCGACTCCTGGCACAAGCGTGCACCAGGTCTGTGGCGCGCCTCATCAAACTCCAGGTCACACGGCACCCTGTCTGCACCTCCAGCTCCCGCCTGCTGGGGCACTCGGCACTTCTGCCCGTGCGGGTCCCTCTCGACGGCACAGACCCGCCAGGCCATCGCCCGCTCTGCGTCACCTTGGGGCCCACTGAGAGCCTGCTGCTCTCCCATGGGCTTGGGCGACACCTCCCGGCTCCAGGCAGATGGCTGGGGCCCACCAGTAACAGTCCTGCCGGCGGGGCCTGAGGTGGTCTGCACTGCCTGCGCCACGGTAGGGTGTGGGCGGCCGGACGGAGCCACGGCTGGCACCCTTGTCTGACTGCAGGTTCTGGGGCCAGCTTCTCCTCCACACCCGAACCTTCACCGTCAACAACACGGGTACCGCTTCTGGACCCAACTGCCGGAACTTCCTTTTGGGAGATGCAGGGAGGTGTGTGGGGAGTCCTGCTTTAGGCCTCAGGGATGACTCCGGGCCCCACGCGGCCCTCTGCTCCTTCACGGTCTATGACAGGTGCTCCCGTGTGAACCCGAAAAGGGCAGAGCAGCTGCTTCGGGCACACCTGTGTCTGGGTGCCAGCACCGCCCCGATGCTCCCCACCCGGGCATGGCCGTCTCCAGGAGCAGTCTCTGTCTCTGCTGCTCTCTGCTCTTCTTCCCTCGGGACCTATGGCCCAAAAGGAACAACAGAGACTCCTTGACTAGCAAGGGGAGTCTTCTGCAGACTGGCAGTGGGAAGGGCATAAACCCCAAACTGCCCTGTGAGCATCACCAGAAGCGACTCCAGAGCCAAGTGGGGCCGAGACCCTGTCGCCCTCCAGAGCGTGCACCTCCTCCAGGAAGCACGTCTGGCTCCTGTCCAGCAGCATCTGCTGGGAGGGCGGAGAGGCTAAGCACCTTGCCAGGGCCCCTCTGCAGGAGTCCAAGGCCCTGGCTTCCAACCTACAGGGCCTTGGTGTGGAGACCTGAGGTGTGGGCCCTGCCCTCTCACACTGCGTGTCTGCCCCACCGCCCTCCTCACTCTGGGGCCACGTGTAAAGGACCCCGAGACTGAGGGTTCAGGCCTGTGCGGTGGGGACTCTGAGCCTGTGTTCCAGAATGAGAACCCAGGTCTCTGCTCTCGAATGGGAAGACCGTAGCCATGACAGGCCCGAGGGGATTCAAGGGCCAGGGCACACACGGGGCCAAACAGGCATCATCACCGTCCTTCCTGCCCGGGTGGCGCTCACAGTGACCTGGGCCACGCGGGGCCCCCACGTCCCCTGGAGCATGGGCACGCCAAGTGGGGACCCAGGCCCAGGACCGCGGGAGCCTGTAGGATCTTGCTGTGCCAGAAGGGAGCTTGCCCTCCAGAGCGAGGTGGCACCCGGTCCCCTCTCAGCTGAGGGGCACAGGGGAAATGGCTACACGGTGCCCGGCAACACGCTCTGGCCTGCGATGGCAGGGTCTGTGCCCTGCACCCACGTGATGGGAGCGATGGCGCCTATCCATTCCAGGGCCACGAGGCTGGATGAGCCTTCCCTGTTCCCACAGAGGTCCCGTCGTAGAAACCCTCATTTTTCACACCAGCGAGACAAAAGCAGTGTGGAAGTGGGTGTGGGCCTCGCCTGCAGGCCTGGGTGTTCCAGCTTCTGCTCAGAGCTCTCTGAACCTCCACTTACTCCCTGCGAGGGGCTGTGGCCTGTGCCCCGGAGCTGCGATGGAGCCCCAGTGACTGGCAGGTGCACAAGGGGCCCTGGCACAGCGCCCCACCAAGGGCCCCGCACCGCAGACCCAGCCTGGTGTCCTGGCGCACCTGCTGCCTGTGGAAGGAAATGGCCGTTCCTCCTCCTGTGTAGCACCCTAGTGCACCGGAAAGTCCCGAGGATTTACGCTCCTCTCCGGCGGCCTCGCTGGCCATTCATCACAGACCTGTTCCCCTGACAGTGGCCCGAGTGTGGCCCGGTCCCCGGCTCACCCCCCGGTAGGTGTCCTCCGGAGATTTATTGTAGTTCCAGAAGCGCAGGCCGGCCAGGCTTTCGGTTCTGTCGAAGCGGATCGTGACCACATGGTCCATCCCTGGGCAGAAGGGGATCAGCCACATGTGCTCGTCCTCCGTGGTGATGTTGACTCCGTCGATCAGCCTGCCGGGAGGGGCGCATGAGGAAGGGCCGCCAGGGCTGCTGAGCCCACCACCCCTCCGGCAGGCCGGTGCCGCTCCTGCATCTGCCTCAGCCCAGCTGTGGCCAGAGCCATCTGCAGCGAGCGGTACCCCTCATCTACAAATTAGACAAAGGTTCACTGAAGCAACCGTCAGGGTTAAAGAAAGGAAAGGGGAATGTGCCGTATTTCAGGGTCCTTTAACCCAGCAATCCCACTTCTGGGATTTTTTTGACCTGGTGGAGAATTTATTGTGCACACTGGAAAGGTCATCTGCACAAAGATATTGATTAGAGTTACGTGCACTGGCAATGCGAGCACACACACACACACACACACACACACCCACACCCACACCCACGGCCGCGTGCCCGTGCTCAAGATCACCTACACTGTCTCCAAATGGGAACGGTCACGTAAGTCTGAACCGCACAAGCGCGAGCCTCTGTGATAACACAGGAAGGGAAGCCACGGGGTGGCGGGACACTGACTAGGACACCGGCCTGACCAGAATGGGAGAGACCGTGCCAAAGTGCGGACACCGGGGACAGAGGGGTCCAGGTGGTATTTTTCTCCGCCTCTGCATTGGCTTCATGGTGCGTTTTGAGAGACACGAACCCTCCTTCCTTGGGTGAGGCAGAAAGGTATAAGGCACTGGCAGACAAGGTGGCCCTCGGCTGGGGCAGAGGCAGGGGCAGGAAGAGGCGGGTGACCCTGGGCAGAGCGTGCCAGCGCCCCGTGCCCTTCCCAGCCTCCATCAATGGCCTCGGGCCATCTCCTCACCCCCAGGTCCTGGCACCCTGCCTCATTCTCCAGGACCCCGCCGTCTCAGGCCTGCCTCTCCTTCCCACATCCTGAGCCCCCCTCACCCCACCACAGACTCCACTGTACCGGGAGAGAGAGGCTGCTGCCACGTTTCCTAATTTTGCAAATACATTTTTTTTCCTTTCACATTTTAAAGTTTTGGGTTTGGAGTAAGCCCTGCAATCTAAGTGTTCATCCCAGGAGCTAATGTAATATTTTTCTCCTCCAAAAAGCTGTTATTAAATTGAAGGATGGTGTGTCTCACAACTGCTGGCATCTTAACTCTGAGGAAATTCGGCAGTTTACACTGGGTGTCTGTGGAACTAAGCTTACTGAGAGCTAACCCCAGACAACCTTCTATCTCCTCCCCAAAGCAATTCCTTTTCTGTCCTAGAAATGGGGCCACTTCCACTGCAGAAAGGTTGCTCTACTCTGAGAGCAGAGACCTGCTGAGGCACCGAGAGGGGACCAAAAAGGAAGCCCCGCATAAAGGAGGCCGAGACGCCAGGGCCAACCTCGCGCCATGAGCACGCTTGGGGCTCAGCTGTGGTCCTCTAAATACCATTTCCCTCCACCGCCACCAGGGCTTCTTGGAGAAAAGGCTGTGGCAAGGTTTGGGCCAAGAAATACACAAGATGAGCCCGGGCCATCTTGTCACATCAGAGGGCAGGGAGGTAGCCAGACATGTTTTTTTGTTGTTGTTGTTTTTCCTGTGGTACTGGGGATCGAACTCAGGACTTTGTGCTTACAAGGCAAGCGGTGGAACCATTGAGCTAAATCCCCAGCCCCTCAGACATGGTTATTTTTAAAGAACTCAAGTGGACTGGGGCTGAAGCTCAGTAGTAAAGCACTTGCCTGGCATGCACAAGGCCCTGGGTTTGAACTCCAGCACCATAATAATAAACAGACTCGGAAGCTCCCAGTGTCCAAGAGTGGGCAATCTGAGCACCAGTAAGGACAGAAAGAACAATGGATTGAAACCCTCCAACCACAGCATGCCTAAATTGTAAGCTTATAGTGATACTCAGAAACATTGGAAAATGTCATTATTCTGAAAACTGAAGGGGAAAAGGAAACAATCACAGCATGCAGGCTGCCCTTCCCATTTGAGTTATGCCACAGAATAACCAATTTCAGGGAAATATCTCAATCGTTTCAGCAAATATGTGGAAAAGGGCACAAGAAGACAAGTGAATGAATGAAAGCCTGGCCCTGAGTGTGATCAGCCACCTCTGTCGCTACCAGTGTGGCAACTGCTTGCACGGTACACACCCTGACGGCCACAGCACTCGAACCTCCACCCTCATCAGATCTCCAGATCTAAGTAACAATTTGCCCAGAATACAGGGGACAGAGGCACAGGTTAAACAACACAGGGAGGTACTGGTAAAAGCCAGACTCCACTGGGCAAGAAAGCATGGTTCCTTCTACAGATAACTTACAAGAAAAAAGGGAGGCGAAAAAAGGGGGCCGTATCAAAGCTGGAAAGGCCACTCAGCCAATCACATGAACACATCTTATCTGGATCTCAATTCAAGTGAACAAACTGTAAAAGCTGGAAAGACCATTGTGCTGGCATCTGATAATTTAAAGAGCCACTGGCCTAACACTCTTGGCTGGGATAATGATTGTGTTTCCTACTGATTAGTGATACATAATAAAATATTTAGAGAAGATATCTGAGCAGGCCTAAGACTTGCTGCAAGATACCTGGGCAGAGGGGTGGTGAATGGGGGTCTGAGCCAGCTGGCTGGGTGTAGTTGCTTTTGAAGCCAGGTCCATGGCTGCAGGTGAACTGCCAGGATCCAGACGGCAGAGTGGCCCATGAGCAGGCAGCAGGGGACGAGGGCCACAGTGAGAGCCCACTTAGAAGGAAGCTCGGGGAGCCTGTCACCGGCCCTACACACACTCAGCACCGTGGGCCAAGCCAAAGGGTGAGGATCCCCTTCCGGACCCCAGCCAGGGAAGACATGCACCCCTTCTACTGATAAGGAAGCCAAAGCAGCAGTGCTTCAGTGCCTGGTGTGGGTGTCAATCGCTTCGCGTGTCTAGCCACTTCCGGCCACTGTCTAACCTTGTGCGTCTCAAATCCCTCATCTGTAAAGTAGGGGTGGGGATAACAGCGCTTACCGTAGTAAGCTGGAGATAAATGGATGAACACCTGTAACTGCTCAGCACAACCTAGAGCTTGGTGTTTAGTGAGTGTTCAGAACGTGGCTTCCACGATATCCATTACTATTGCTATCACCACCGTTACTGAACAGGCGAAGCAGCTCATGGGTGCCAGGGAGCAGAGACAGGAGCCTCGGGCTCCTTCGACTTTGCTCGTTCACGCCTCCGGACAGCGGCCAGGCCCCACAGCCGTGCAGGTCTATGCACACGGTCCCTGGGGGTGGACGCCAGGTCTGAGGCTGCATACTCGTCGACCTGACCCGACCTGCGGCAGTGAAATGCGACACGCGCAGGCGGACGTGCGGAGAAAGGCTGGGCTCCCACGCTTGGAGGCCACGGAGAAGACTCCAGGCACGGGCGTCCCCGGGCAGGGAGCATGGTTTCCATCCTGCTCGCCCTCTAGCTGCTGACTCTGGGGAGGTCCTCCCTTTCCTGAGCCTTGGTTTCCAATGGCCACAGGACGGCCGCAAGAGGATGGTGGGGCCGGGTGACAGGCGGGAGGGACCCTGTCCGGCGCGTGAGTCCGAGACTTACTTGTCCAGGGTCCGGGAGTCCGTGGTGTACTCGGGAAGGTCATTCAGGTCTCGCGGGCAGGCGGAGAGCTGCTGCAGGTGGATGGGCAGGGCCTGGCCGTCCTTGCCCACCACTTCCAGGCCAGTGAGGCCCAGGTAGTGCAGGTCCCCCCAGGAGGCTGTGAAGTTCAGCTGGAGGACTATGGCGGGAAGAAAAGCGGTTCATCAACACCAGGGTGGAGACGGGAGGAGCGCCCGCCAGCCTCGACACTGAGGAACTTGGGCTGAGGTACACTCTGCCTCTTACCTCTCACGGCCCTCGGGACCAGACCTTTGCCAAGGGTCAGAACATGGCTGTGGCTGAACAGACTGTTATTGTTTAAACTTGCATATGGCCTGGGCTCATTCCATCCCACCCCACCCCATCCCACCCACATTTAACACCCTCTATGGCTTTCCAACTGTTTGGCCAACAAGGCACTTCCCCATGAGGCTTCTACCCACTTCTCCAGCCTCCCTACACACCAACAACCTGATTTCCATCCAGATGGTCTTTCAGTTGCATATATTTCTATTCTTCCCTTCCACCACAGGGCCTTTCCACATGCAGCTCCCTCCCTTTGGATCTCATGTGGCTTGGTGAATGTGCACACATTCCTCAGGTCACAGCTCCCTTCCCCCTGACTTCTCTGACTAGGTCAGCCCTCCATACATAGGCTGCCATGCCACTGTGTATATCCTCTCCTGGGTCCTGGGCACCATTGTGATCTTGGGATCACTTGGTAAATACGTCTGCCTTGCTGGGTGGTTAATTTCTTAAGAGAAAACTCTCTTCTGTTTTTCTAGACCAGAGATGGTGAACCTTTAGAGACTGAGGGCCCAAACCCACTTCTTTATCACAAAGGGTCAACACTGCAATTAAACCCGAATACTAGGGTTTTAGTTAGAAAAAAAACAACTGTTACCTGATGTTTGGCTGCGGGTGGCTTGGTTGCTGTGCTGACAGAGGGGGCACTGTGCTTGTCACCACTGCTCTGGACCGCTGTGTCCCCAGACCCCGGCAGCGTGCAGAGCACACAGTAGGGCCACAGTGCAAACGAGGGGTTAAACCAGCAACTAAATGCAACTGGTTACCCAGTGCCCTCCACTGGACAAACTGGCCACCACCGTAAGGAGTCACATGGATCCGGATGAAGGAAGTAATTTCCGGTGCCACCTCCCACCTCTGTCCCTACCCTCCTCTTGCTTCGCCAGAGCCACGTAGGACCTGACCTTTCTGGCCCTGGGGTGACCCTTTCACTGTCCCGAAAGCTCACACTGGATGGACCTCTGGGTCGTCGGCCATCAGGCCGGACCCTCTCCTGCCGTCCTGGCCTCTCTAGAGAAGGACCAAGCCCAGCCCTCGTCTGCCCTGAGGACCTCTCGGTGGCTGAGGTCTCTGCGACTTTCCCAGAGCGCCAGTGCTACCGTGAAGGAAGGAAGCACAGTAGCGCCTGGTCCTGCCCACTTCTGCCCAGGGAAGCTACAGGCCCAGAGAGGTTCAGATCAGCCTGTGACCAGGCCACGTCCCCTGGCCTCCCGAGCCTGGTGTCCCCGCTGAGGTCCCTACTGACTTCCAGCAGACCCTGCTGCTCTTCGTGCTGCCAAGGCCACGCAGAGCCTCCTGGGGACAGATGAAAAAGGCTCCCGGCCTGCATAGCCCAGGGCATTCCTGTTCGCGGCTCTGGCAGCGCGCACACACCTCCTCGCCCGTGTTCTCGCCCCTATGTGGTGTGGCTTTGCTGCTCCTCCTGAGTACAACTAAGTCCAGGGACGGGGATGCAGCTCAGTGGTGCCGCGTCTGCCTGGCAAGCGCAAGGACCTGAGTGTGATCCCTGGTTTCACAAAAATACAAAAGACAAATACAACTGAGTCCATTCCTCCACCCTGCATCCGGCCCTGTGCCCGGCTGGCCTAGCAAGCAGCACTGTATGGCCTGTGTGTGCTGCGCCTGTCCTGACTTCCCACACTGCACCAGGAGTTGGCCTGGGGAGTGGCCGGGTCTCCAGTTACACTGGCCCATGGCTGCTGGACAGCACAGGTTGTCAGCTGCTTGCCTGCCCACCCGCGGATCAGAGCACGGTGGGCTCATAAGGAGCCAGCCAAGTGGGTCAGCTGAGAACGGCTCAGCCAGGACACGGGTTGTGAACCAATCATGAGTAAGTAGTGACTGCTAAGTGACCAAAGTTTGGGTGGTTTGTTCCACAGCAGAAGCTGACTGATATATCCCTTCCCTTCCTGTCACCCCCAGGAGGCCTTCCTAGATGACTCAAGCTCACAGATCCCTAGGCCCTGCTTGAGTTTCTGCTCACAGCTCTTGATACCACCTGGCCACATGGTTCACATGTATGGCCTATGCCCTTTCATTGGTCTCCCAACTGAGATCGAGGCTCCGTGAGGTCAGGACTCTGTTGGTTTGGCTCACTCTTATATCTTCGGAGCCCAGAACAGTGCCTGGCACACACTGCTCAGTTCATTTTTATTACAAACACATGACTGATTGAAAAGTGGGTACTCAGTACATGTCACCAGGCAAGTGAGACAACATAAAACCACTAGCTCTCACCAAATTCACGTATTTACTGACCATCTACTACATGCCAGGTCCTATTCTGGGCACTGGAGAAGGAGGGATAAGGAACACGGCAGAATCTTTAAGCTCTGACAGAGACCGTCGAACACCTCACAAATATGTGACTGATTACTATTCGCAGAGTGATGGATATCACGGAGCAAACGGAGCCATGGGCTTACGGGAAGGGAGTGGCTTTCCGGGGGTGATCCGTGAGCTGGGGCCAGGGTGTGGACAAGGAGGCCGCCATACTTTTGCATTTCTGCACAAAGGACACACTGGGCTGAGAGGAGCGGAGATGTGACCCTGACTGGGCAGCTGAGGAGGGGCAGATGACACCAGTGAGACTGGACAGTGGGGCGGGTGATTCCCTGACTTCCCAGTGTGCTCTGCAGCGGCGGGGCAGGGTGGGAACTCGGCAATGTACAGGGTGTCTGTTTGCACTGTCACCGGCTCTCTCGGGGGCCTGGATACGGAAGGGGAAAGAGGGGCTTCTGCCTGGGCAGCAGAGTGGCCGTGGGCAGTGCCCCATGGAGAAGAGCTGGGGGTGGAGGTGGACCGGGAAGAGGGACAAATGCCACCTCCCCAGAGGCAACGAGGGGACAGTGCCCGCGCCCGCTCATGCTGCCGTGTTTTTGTTCGCCTGGCAAGGTGCACCGAGATCCCACCCAATCTGGGGCGCTCGGAAAGCGGTTCCGCTCCTTTCTGAGCTAATAGCCACATTCCATATTCATTTTCCTCGGGTGTATCAATTAGTATTTATATAAATGGAAATTAATTTTGTTATTCCTCTCCCATGTTTCAACCCTCTCAGCTCCTTTCCTATTCATCGCGGCTGATATTTGCAAAACTTCCAAAATTAGCAAGTCATATCTTCCCTTTCAAAACATTAATAGGATTTGGCCATATTTACCCACCCCGGCGCATCCCCTGGGCCGCTTTATTAAGGCTCCCTCCCGTTTGCACAGATGGGTGGAGCGGTGGAGGATTTGGGATATGGGTTGGGAGGGCAAAGCCTCAGAGAGGAAAGATTTCACAAATCCCAGGCCTTGGAGCCTATGCAGAAGCACTCGGAGGAGAGGCCTTGCTGCAGAGATCAGCACAGAAGCCTCACTTTCCCGACAGCAGAAAGGACTCTGAGCTCCACTTCAGGGCAAGATTCCCCAAGCCACTATCTCTGAGAGAGGGCAGGAGCTGGCTCAGTGGGAAAGACACTTAGAAACAGTGCCTTGGAGAAATCCGCCAGCCGGTGAAGGGACACTGGCGACTTCCGCCTGGCCAGCACCCTGCCCGCTGCTGCCTTCTGCTCAGAGCACTCTGGCCTCACCAGAACACAACGCTTCTCTCTGTCCACGCACGGGTAGCCGACCCTGCACCCTGGGCTCCAGACCTGGCCTCTCTGTGCTTTTGGTCTCCACCTCCTCCCTCCCCAGCACGGAGACCAAGAGGACCGGCTGTGGGTGGGCAAGACTGAGCAGGGCCCGCAGACTCTGCTGGGAGATACAGCCCTCTCTCGTCTGGGGTTTTGGGGTAGAAGGCAGGCTCCAGAGCTCCAGGGAGGCCCCAGCTGGACAGTGGAATGGCAGGCTGCAGGGGAGGCCAGGGCAGAGAGATGGAGAGACACCAAGGCCTGGTGACATCTTTTCTCACCTGTGTCTGTGCAGGCTGCTGTGCCCTCTCATGCCTCAGTTTTGTAAATCAATGCATAGCCCCTTTTGCTTAACTCAGCTTGAGTTCAGTTTTCATTGTTCATAGAGAGTCCTGCCTCACGGAGGAGAGAGTCAACTTCATGGGAAGCACCTGGTGCTTTGTGGCCACTTGGCTCCCAGGGGAAGCTGACATGCGGGGACCTCTGGTGCGAGGTGGCCGGGGCTGAGGGGCTGGAGTGTGCTGGCCCCAGTTCACTGCTGAGAGCCCCCACAGTCTCGCACAGAGCCCTGCTCCTCCTCGGGGCAGCCTGCTGCCATGACCCTCCTAGGATGCCCCAAAGGCCCCAGACGCGGAGCCTCCTGTGGGGCCAAGTGGAGCCTGACTTCTCCCTCCGCCCAGTCCTCAGATCTGCTTCCCAGAGCCAACAGGCAGGGCCTGTCAAGAAAACACAGGGAGGAGCTCACAGCTGTGGCCTTGGCCTACAGAATCTGGGCAGTGGGCTGATGCGGCCTGCTGCAAAGAGGACCAGAGAAGCGGTGAGTGGGCAGCGGGAACCAGATGGGTCCCGGAGCCACAGCAGGTGTTTTATGAGGCTCATGCAGTATTCTAAAACATTATCCAATCCCTCAACATGTAAGACTGAGAGCTCACACAAAAGGCTGGACTTCTGACCTCTCGGAGGCCAGAGGACCTGGTACTACCGGCTGGCAATGGAGGCAGGGGGACACTGGCTGCCTGGTGTATATCCTCCTCCGAGGCTGAGCGGGAACCAGCAGCGCCCACTGCTTCGGGGACAAATGCCTGGGTCCCTCTGGTGCTTAGGTCCCCGCTCCTACCCTTGCTGGGCTCCGGCTGCAGCCTCCCCATCAGAACGGCGGTAAACACAGGGTGTCCCGTGCAGGACACACAGTACGCCCTGGTGAGGTAAACTGCAAAGAGGTGCCACTGCTCTGGGGGGAGCAGCCCTGCCAGGCGCGGGGCTGAGTGGACGCCGGCTGCAGCCCTCACTTGCCCCACAGCCTGGCACCTGTGTGTGGGTGCAACTGGCCGGCTAAGGGAGCCCCGTCCCTGGGGTCCGCACCCCTCCTGCCAGGCGGCGGTACTCACAGATCCCGTGGTAGATGCCTGGCTCCGGTGTGGTGGCTTCGGGGTCAGGGGCGCTGGGTGGCAGCTCTAGCCCTGGGGTCTGCAGGTGATCAGGAGAGAAGCAGAAGGGGTGGCTTCAGCGGCATTCACACAGCTGGCTGTGTCCCAGGACACAGGAAATCCCTGGGACATCAGCCTCTGCAGAAGCCCTGACTAGCGGATGGGCAGTCCAGAGCCTGCGGCTGACCCCTGCCAGCTGCCACCACTGGCAGCGGAGACGTGCGACGCTACAGTGAGATGCTGGGCCGATCCTAACAGAGGAGGGCCCGACAGCGTTCATCTGGTGGGAGAGAGGAGGAGAGGTGCTGTCCAACCTGGGCTGTCAGGGCGGGGCCCAGCTGTCCACACTGCTGAAGTCCGCTGGACTCTCACAGCAGCCAGGAGAAAACCAGAAATAGCTGCCGCACCTCGGCCTTGGGTCCCAGTCTGACTGTGTGTTACTTCTCTGCACCCTGCGTCAGGGCAGAGCACCTGCACTACTTGACAGACCGCAGAGCTGAGACACGAAAGCCAGTGTGTTGCGTGCCTCCAGCGTTCGCACTGGGTCCACCCACGAAGCCCCAGTGAGAACCTTCGCTGTCTGGAGAATGCTGGGCAATGGCGAACCTCGGGGTCGGCTCCAGTGGGAGCCCACAGATCTAGCCAGACCAAGGATGAAAACATCTGAATGAGCTGCCCTTTTTAAATTGAGATGTTTACATAAAAACCTATTTCTAGCTTCTTGTGAAAAAATCAGGAGAATGAGCACCAGAGGGTGAGCAACGGCCACCTGGGCACAGTGGAGGGACGCACACGGCCCAGCGATGTCCCCCCACTGCCTGCCGTCTCGTCCTGGGGCGGCCTGGCTGGGCTCCTCTCCACGGTCTGGCTGTTCCCCACTTCCTCTCCGCACACGTAATCATCTCTTCCCCTCCCGTTCGTGAGAAGCCCCCAGAGACCTCGGAGACTCAGATGACCTTTACTTGGAAGGTCATCTTTCATTTTTAATGTATATATGGATGAAAAGCCGAAGCTTTGGACCCATGAATTCAAGTTCCAGCCAGTATGTTCTGGGGCAAGTCATTTAACCTGCCTGGCCTCCGTTCCTCCACGGGAACGTGAAGTTTCCACCCAGAGGCCCTGCGGGCGAGCACACTAAGGCTATGGCCACACGTGGATGGACCCACGTCAGCACCGTGGCCACAATGACCGTGACTCTCATCTCAAGGCTGCCTACAAAAGAGCAGCAAGGAATCAAAAGACAACCCAAAGGAAGAACTCCCCTAGACTGCCAACCCTAAATCACACCGAGGACACACGGCAGACTTTTGGCTTGATTAAAATTTGAATGCTTCCTCACTTGGGTTAAATAAATAAAAAATAAGAAATAATTAGAGAACGAAATATGACACACAGGATAAAAAGTGAAGGAGAGAAAAGAGGGATGTGAAACTTGATTAAAATTTGAATGCTTCCTCACTTGGGTTAAATAAATAAAAAATAAGAAATAATTAGAGAACGAAATATGACACACAGGATAAAAAGTGGAGAAAAAAGAGGGATGTGAAAACAGTAGCCTGAGCTACTAAGGGTACCTGTCCGACTTCTCCCGCTCTGCTGGGAGCCCATGACTGTGCCCTACCTGGTCCCTGCCCGAGCCGGCCTGGGTGAAGGGCCGCTCCTGGGCCTCGCTATCGGCCGTGCCAGGCCTCCGCAGCGCCTCCTCCAGCTGCAGCTCGTGCAGGCTCTCCGCGTCGGTGCCAAAGATCTCATCCGAGCAGAAAACGGCCTCGAGGATGTCGTCGTCCGTCGTGAACAGGATGGTGTCTCCAAAGTGTTCCGGGGCTGACAGCGTCACCGGGAAGACAGAAGAGCCCGTGTCCCAGAACTGCCCGCCAACCCCGGTCCATGCGACCCCACACCCAGCATGACTGCCGTGCTCCGGAGCCACCTCGTCGATGTGCTTCACACAGAGTCACCAAGCCCACGAGCGGAGCACAGCCTCACAACCGGAGCCACTGCGACTGCCGCCAGACAAGGGCCTTTTTTTTGGCTGATGCTTTGGCGGACCACCTGGTCCCTGGTCTCCCTGTCCCTGGGTGCCTCGTCTGGGAGGGTGAGTGTTGCGCCCGGCCTGGGAAGCAGCTCAGGGTTGGACGGGTGGGTGGGCCGGGCCCCAAAGCCCACTGCTTTGCCTGAAGGCAGGAGACCCCACTGGACTGAGTTAATGCCAGGCTTCCCCTGAAATCATACCCTCAGATTGTGCGTCACTCCAGGACAAATCCTCTTGTAAGTGGAGATGAAAAGAAATGAGGTGTGGGGGCGGGATTTAAGCTCAGTGGTGCTGCCACTTGCCTTGCAAGCTCAAGGTTCTGAGTTCGATCCCCGGTACCAAAAAAAAAAAAAAAAAAAAAAAAAAGGCAGCTCTGGCTGGTCCGGGCTAGAAGAAGTGAAGGCAGGTGACTAGGTCTGGGGGAGGCCCTATGTGGTGGGCACCCCGGGGGTCTATTCTCACAGCAGCTTTGAGAACATTCTGCCAGATACACCATACCTCCTGCCAGGGTCCCAGAGGCCTTGGCAATCTCTCCATCAAAGATGCACTGCCCATCCAACAGCATTGTGAGGTCCTTCACGCCGCGGAAGGAGTGGATCCTGGACTTGTTGTAATTCCAAACCCTGATCAGGGCGACCTGGCAGGGGTGCATGAAGTCGATAGAAATGGAGTGAGGCTGGCCTGGCGTGAAGGGGGCCAGCCAGACGTGCATGTCGTCCTGGGTCCTGTTCACCCCGTCGATGAGGTTGGTGACCACCCGGGGGTCTTTCCCGTATGCCGGCAGGACATTGATGTCGGGGGGTTCTGCCATGATGGCTGAAATCGGCACCCGCTCGCCTGTGGAGCTGAAGATTTCTATCCCGTTGAGGCCCACGTAGTGCCTGTCGCCCCACGTGGACTGAATGTGGAGGACCAAGTGCTGTCCCTGAGGCAAGACGGGGATTCTGAAGTCGCTGCTGCTGTCCTTCTCCCCCGAGCAGTCGCCCTGTGTCCTGGGCGGCTCTGGCTCCCAATCCCTGTGGGGTGCTGGCTGGGCCCTGGGCCGGCTGCTCCTCTGCTGCTGCAGGAACTCGTCCAGAATGTCCCCCTGGGGCTCCAGAAGGGAGATGCGGCCCCGGTGACAGCGGTCGAAGGCACTGAGGGAGTCCCAGGACTCGCGCAGTGTGTGCTCCTGCTCGCTGTGCCCCCGGGTGTCTTCTGGAAGAGAGGGCGTGGGGTGACCCATCAGTGGTACGGGCAGAAACGGGGGCTTGGGGCTGCCTCTTGCCTCCCTGGCCCCAGGGACCTCTGGCATTTGAGGAATGGGCTGGGGCATCACCATCCCATCCTACGACACCAGACACAGCCCACACAGTTTTCAACCACGCTGCTGGATGTCCGTGTTGGCAAAAAACTGCTTATGATCACCCCAGCCTAGAACCTGTTTTATAAAAAGTACTTTTGATAGATTTCAATTACTCTGAAAATGCAACTATCACCAAAGCCAAAGGGAGCTGGGCATGGTGGCTCATGTCTAATCCCAACACTTGAAGGGCGGAGGCAGGAGGCTCACTGCGAGTTCGAGGCCAGCCTGGGCTCCAAAGTGAGTCCCCGAGCAGCTTGAACTACATAGCAAGACCCTGTCTCAGAAAAAAAAGAAACCAAGCGAAGTCCTATGGTTTGGATCTTGAGGTGTGGGGGCAAAGGCCTGTGTGTTAAAGGCTGGCTCCCCAGACCACAGCGGGTCAGATCACTGGGGGCAGAGCCTGGATGGGGACCCTAGGATCCCGTCCTCTCCTCTTCCTCTTCCTTTGAGGTGAGCAGCTTCTGCCTCCACAAACGGGAAGCCACCACCACAGTGCGACACCTCAGCACAAGCCCTGATCAGCAGTGCCAGCCAACCAGAGTCTGATCGTCCAAAGCCGTGAGCCCCAGCCAGTCCTCCCTCTATCCCAGGGCAGTGGGGAAAAGCTGACGCGGGAAGGCCATGTGGTCACGTGAGAAACTTGCCAGAAGTTGCTCCCCACTTAGGAGCTCCCCAGATGGGGTAGGGTGGGGTACCAACACGGAGTCAGCAGCTTGAGGGACTGTGCGCGAAGCTGCACAGTCACATGACTCAAATGGCACCACCCCCAAGCCGTGGGAAGGCCAGAGGAGAGAGAGCCGGGTGTGCAGCATTAGGTGCTGCGGGCCTAAGCACAGGTGCTGGGCGTTGACAGTGATTTCTCCAGGGTGGTGGGTAGGGAGGGCTTTTCTTTTCTTCTTGGTAACTTTACTTGTTAAGTTTCCTTACTTGTATTACTTTTATAGCCAAGAAAAATGGTAGCGATTCAGAGAGCGAACAAGCCAGGTGCATCACACAAACCAGGGGTCGACTTCTACCTGTGGCCGAAGCCCACGTCCCCAGCTTGCCGTGAACACAGAGCAGCCCTCACGGGTGTCCTGGAGGCCCTGGTGTGAGCACAAGCAGCGCCCTGGGTTTGCGGCCCTCATGGCTCAGAGGTGTCACTCGGTAATGTAGCCGGTGACACACTGCCGCCCCCTTTCCTGTCACACTGCCCTGCGCTCTGTTCCTGCGGAGGGGGCCGGGGGCCGTCAATCACCCCCTCCCTCCGGCCTCTCCTGTCACTGCTCCCCACCCCACTGTGCCTGCAGACCTTCATAAATCTCTCCTGCCCAGAAGGAAAGACGAGAGCTGGCCTGATTCTATGGCTTCTCCAACCGCTGTCCTAATTTCTCCCTTTCATGCAGACGCTCTGCCTCCCTCGCCCTGCCACCTGCTGTCTCTTTGTAGCATTATTGTTTTGCCCACCCCAGCCGGTTCGCCCTCTCCTCCGCTTTCCCTTTGGAGACGCCCCCACCTCTAGGCCATCCAGACTGGACTGGGCACAGGCCGACAGCACCCTCCCGGCTCTAGGCTGGAGGGTGGAGGGCTGGGGTTGCAAGGGGCCATTCTGCGGCACTGGGGGGACAGCCCATCTTGGTCACTTTCTTGTCGCTGGGACACAGTACCTGATGCCCACAGCTCAAAGGCACGGAAGTTTCTGTTGGCTCACATTTGTCGTCCATGGCTGCCTGTGTCCGAGGCAGGACGGCACAGCAGAGCAGCACAGTGGAGGAAAAGCTACTCACGTCACGGCAGTCAGGAAGCAGAGATCAGAGAGACCCAGAGAGGCAGACACAGTATACCTCTCCAGGTGACCCTCCTCTTCTAACCAGGCCCTACCTCCTAGCACGTTTAGCTACAGCACCCCGTGATTCATTCACTTTTCAAAAGCCCCTCTTATGAGTGCATGAAGCCTTGGGGGATGTCTAGATACAAACCATAACGTCTGGCCCTGGCCCTCAAAAGGCCCATGTGCACATCTTTATGCAAAATGCCTTTATTCCATCTCTAAGAGTTGCCAAAGTCTTAATAGTTACAGCACTGCCGAAAAGCCCAAACCCAAAGTCTCCTCTGAGACTTACGGGAAACTTTAGCTCTGAGCTAAAGAAGAAAGAAAATTAAACTCTGCTGTCATACAATGACACAGGGTAAACATTCCCCTTCCAAAGGAAGAATGGGGGGATAAAAAAGAATGGAACTAAAGCAATACCAAAACCCAGCTCAGCAGCTCCATGGGAAGCACCTGGGCAAACTACAGCAACCTGTGAACTCTGCATGGCCAGGGTAGCCCCACTCCCACGGCACTGCCTGTGCTGATAGCTCCTGTGTTTCTCTCTTGGGCCGGCTTTGCTCATTCCTCTGGCTTTTCTGAGATGTTCCATGTTTCTGGCTTCTCCAAATTTCTGGGATCTCCACTGCACTTTCAGCTTCATTCGCACAGCTTATACACTGCCCTCTCAGGGGCCACTACCTGCCTCCCAGGCCTTCTGAAATCTGGATGGAAGTGTCCCTGAACCCACAACTCTTGTGTTCTGCGTGCCTGCAAAACCAGCACCACATGGATGATGCCAAGGTCTGCTGCCAGCTTGAGCAGTATCCTGGCCCCCTGAACCACGCCTGCAGAGACTTCTGAGTGCCTGGATGGCTGAGCACTGTGAACTGAACTCCAGCAAACCAATTCCCTACATGGCCCTTCAAGGGCACTGTGCCTTGTAGCTCTTTTCTCAAATGAAAGCTTTATAGTTTTGCACCCCTAAGCCTGGAAGGGTGGGGTCTTGACAATTTCTCATCCCTGCTATTGTTCCAATGCAAAATACTTGGCTTCTTTTTTAAGGCTTAACTTTGCAGAAACAAAGCTGTCCTGGGCCAAAATTTTACAAGCCCCAAATTTACAGAAGCTTCCTTTCTGATAAAATTCAAATCTTTAAAATCACTCAGGTGTGTTGTTTGCTCTTGATTCTCAATGTAGAGCTGGTAAAAGCCCTCCAGCAGTACGCATGCCACAGCCTCAAGATTGGGCTGTCTTAGTTTCTCTACCATATTAGTCCACTGCCCTTAATGTCAGTCTCCTGCCAAGTCTTAGGACATGAACAAAATATAGAAACATTTTCTGCCAGAGAATAACATACATGGCCTGGAGTCCAACTACCAATGGAGTCCTTGTTCCCAACTGGAACCTCCTAAAACTGCTCCTTACCATACGCATTTCTATTTACATTCTGGTTTTCTGAGCTCTGGCCAGACTCTACCATCAAGCTCAGCTTATAGCATTGTAGGGCTGCTTTTCCAGACAGTATCTCCAAACTTTTCCAAATTCCCTTTGATAAGCCAGATCCAAAGCCTTCTGAATCACACGGTCAGGTATAGTACTGGCAATAACCCTATGTCTCTCGTACCAAGGTCTGCCTTGGCCACTTTCTCATTGCTGGGACATAATACCTGACACCCATGACTTGAAGGAGAAGAGGTTTATTTTGGCTCACATCTCCCAAGCCTGACAGTGTCACCCCTCTTGGTCCTCATCTGGCTTCTGACTCCCAAACAGGCACCTCAGCTTCAGACATCAATCCTGGCCTTTCTCCCTTAGCCAGCATCTTCCATTCCAGTGTCTGCTTGGAAGGACAATGTCGGCTCTGTCACTTCAATTTCCTTGTGCCTCCACCAGTTTGCCCCCAGGGGCCGCCCACCATGTGCACGAAGGCCTGCAGAGAGCCCCCACTGGCTTCTGCCACTTCTCCTTGCTCCCACATGATCGCTTCACCCCAGTTGTGCCGGCCCTTCTGTCCTGAGAGTACACCAAATCTCTTCTGGCCTGGGAGCCTCTGCCCTTGCTGTGTCCTCCATCAGAGATGCTCTCCCCCTAGATGCACACTAGGCTGGCTCTTCTTGCCACCTGCCTCCTCAGAGAGGCCTTCTCTGCCATACACACCCTGCCTCTGCTGTGTCCCAGTGCCCAGCAGAGCATCTGGTGCAGGGAAATGCTCATGGTTTGCTGCCAAAGGGAAGATTGCCAGCACCATATTTCTGCCCCACCCTGTGCCCCGGACCCAGGTCTGGAGGCTGAGGGACACCCCCTCACCTGTTGGTTCTCTTGCCCCTGTCATCTCCCCCTCTTGTCATCTGCCATTAAAAAAGAGTATAGAAGTTCTCCCGCCCTCTCCTCCCAGGCACGAGGTAGGACATCTGGCAGAAGGAATTCCCCATATGGATTGCCACCACCTCGCTTTACGGGATTTGATTTTCTCTGATAGAAACAATGGCTGGCATTGCTTTGCAAGTGCACCGAGGAGCCCGCACTGCACGTCATGTGCTGGGGACTTAGACTGAGGCAGCGCTGCATGTGGGGCGCAGCCAGGTGGGGACTCCACCTGCATTCCACATCTGCTGCTGACCTCTTCCCTGAGGTGCACACTTTCTTCTGGACCTCTCAGATGTGCCACCTGGCTGGAGCCCACAGGTCTGTCTGCAGAGCACACTACTGTGCTGCCTGGGGCCAGTGCTGTCCCCTCACGGCCCACATTCCCATCATAAACCTCAAGGCAGCAGAAAGCTCTTGAGTGGTCTGCAGTCAGCATGGTGTGGAGGGCTCACTGATTATGACAGGATGGGAACCAAGATTCCAAAGTACTAGTGGGCTGAGCCTAACGTAACTATGACGCTCTGAACCTGAGTTTATAAAAACTGACTGCACCACTCTGAGGTATGTGCTAACCCTAAAAAAATGGGCAGTGGCAAGGCACAGAGGGAGGTGTACAGAGCTGTTTATTCTCATCAATCGCTCTTCAGCCATTACCGAAGGGGCAAGGAGTGCACACTGGGCCCAAGCAGAACAATGAGTTGCTTCCCTAAGTCTCTGGGATTGGGTGCTGTAGCCACTGCTGGGACAAGGCCACTGGAGGGCCGAGGCCACTGGCTGCCCCATGAACAGAGCAGAGAATGCTGACCTCATGAGGACAGGGCAGGCACATCGACCTTGGGGAGCTAAAGGTGGGCCCGGAAGTCCGGGAGGGACAGGAGGAAGCGGTGTCCGTTCCAGCACCTTTCCACTCCTGTTCCTGTCCCACTGAATGAGCACTGCCTTTATGGCGGGAGCTCTGAGGCTCACAGAGGCAGAGGGAGTGCCTGGCCCCTCTGAGGACACCTCTGGCATCACAAGACCTCTGCTGGCTGCACAGTCTTGCGCTGTCTTACACAGCCCAGGCCCAGGGCAGCGGTCCCCCCGCCCCAGCACTGGGGGGGCTCGGCTGGGTGTCTATCCGAGGCCATGGGGTTCAGTGGAGTTCAGCCTGAGGTGAAGTGTAACTTAATATTTCTAAGTGACTTTCCTTTGTAGCATGACCAGCTTAAGAAGCAAAAAATCTCAAGGGCCCAGGGCTTAATGTGTCTGTCATAGAAGCAAGGGGTGAAATGCCTGGAAGGAAATTAGTGAGAGACTTGTCTGAGCTGGGCAAGTCAGGATTACACCATCACCCAGGAACTCCCTGAGGCTCCAGCAGCCGGCTCTTCTGGGCAGGGTGGTGGAGCACAGCCGTGGCAACAGGCACCAGAGGGTGGTGCCCTGAAGCATGGTGTGGAGCTGGTCTGCCTGGGCACAAGTCTCATGTCTCACCCTCATGGCCTGCGGGAACCCAGGAAGGCTGCTTCAACCTCACACTTTCTTTGGATAACGGGCATCAGGTGCATTTAGATAAGATGCTTGGCCCGGCCCTGGCTAACTGCAGGCAGCCTGGATCCAGCCCCAAGCGCCTTCTGACAGTGTCCACACCTGCCCTGCAGAGGACTCACTGTGAGCCCACTGCCTGCCCTTCCACCATCCCCTCCTGCCTCATACCGTCTCAGCAGAAATCTGTAAGGAGCCAGTGACAGATCGGGGGTCTACCAGACACCAACACAGCAGATGCAATTTGATTTGTTAAAAAATGGGAGCACTGGCTTTGCAAATGGACGCACCAGCAAGAGGTGGGGCCAGAGGGCAGGGTGGGGGAGGAAAGGAAAGAAAAGGAAGAGTGGAAGGGGAGGAGGAGGAGGAGGAGGAGGAGGCGGTGGCACGAAGCATCAGTCAGTAATACCCTTAGAGATAATCTGCAAAGTTCACAAAGCTGTCACTGCGACTCCTGCTGACAAATGGGGCCTCTTTTCTCTTTTTTCTATTTGTGGCACCAGGGACAGGTCTTGCTAAATTGCCCAGGGGGCCTTGAACTTGACACTCCTGCCTCAGGCTCCTTAGCTGGGATTACAGGCAGGTGCCACTGTGCCAGGGTGCTTTGTTTTTGTCTTTTTTGACACATACACAGTGCTATAAAAATAATCAGTTGCCAATGTTGAAAACTAAGACCGTGCGATAGTTTGACTTCTCTTGAAGAAAAGGGAAGGAGGGAGCTGGTGTGCTGGCCCAGGTGGACAGCAGCTGTCCACCCAATCCAGATGGGCTTGTGCTGTCCACCCTGTCCCGGTCCTTGCTATCCCTGTGGTTTTCTAACACCCAGGCGGCACTGACTGTGACTGTCACGCTGTGCTGCATCTGTAACAAGTCAAGAGTGACGTGAACAAACTATCACAGGCAGAGGAAAAAAGCCAGGGAAAGCTGTGTTACAGGGAGAAGGCCGAGGGACGGACTTGTGAGCAGGGACAGAGACTGAGGACCTTCGGGAGCGAGCAGCAATTGTACCCTGCTCTACCCAGACTGTGCGCAGCCCGCTCTGGGTAACCCTGCTGCATACACGCGGCAATGGGAGTCCTGGGGGCTGAGGGGCTTTGTGCCGCTCAGAGCATGGGGGCGTCAGTATCTGTTATGGTTTGGGTCCAAAACAGCCTCCAGGAGGCTCCTGTGTGGACAGCTGGGGCTTTCAGAGGGGTCCCGGTTGTGGGTGCTGACTTCTCCGGTGGATTTACCCAAGCACGGGGAGCCATCGTGGACAGCCTGACTGAGGTGACAGCAGGTGGGACCCAGCTGAAGGGAGGGGCTCACGGGTCTGTGGTGGGGACTGTCACCTTTCCCAGCCCCGTTCCTCTTGGTTCTTCCCCTTTCTCCACTTCCTGGCAGCCGTGAGGTGAGTGGCTTTCCTCAGCCACCCCCTTCCACTGTGATGTTTCTCCCTCACCACAGGCCCGGACGCAACAGAGCCACCTGACTGTGGACTGAAACCTCGGGAATGTGAGCTAAACAGACCTTCCCTCCTCACACTGCTTTTCTCTGGGGCTGTGTCACGACAGCAGGGACAGACGGACACAAGTCCGCCAGACTCTGTCTTACCTCTGCCAGCAGCACCGCCCGGAGCCTCCTTCCTCGCGGCCCTCCGTCCTCTGGCAGGGCGCTCTCTGCCACGGGGCTGGGTAAAGTAGTCCAAGTCATCAGCACTGCCCTGGGGGACCGCCGTCTGGGGCCTCTCCCCAGTGACGACCCAGCTGGCCCTCCGCCCTTGCCCCAGCCAGGGGCTTCTGTCCGTGGGACCCCCGAGGGCCTCATCTGGGGTGAGCCTGCCTTTCCAGTTCAGCGGCTCCTCAGGGCCGAGCCACAGGGGCTTGGGCTTCTCCCCGCCCTGCTTCCTGTCCTTCCCTGAGGGACAGGGCTGCAACCAGGATGGGGTTTTCCTGGGTGGCTCGGAGGTCTTCCTGCCCCTGAGGTCGTCCAGCCGCCGGATCACAGAGGGCTGTGTGTCCACAGGGAGAGGCTCCGGCGGGGAGCAGGGAAGGGCCCTGGGCCCGGGCTTCTCCCCGCCCTGCTTCCTGTCTTTCCCCGAGGGACAGGGCTGCAACCAGGATGGGGTTTTCCTGGGTGGCTCGGAGGTCTTCCTGCCCCTGAGGTCGTCCAGCCGCCGGATCACAGAGGGCTGTGTGTCCACAGGGAGAGGCTCCGGCGGGGAGGAGGGAAGGGCACTGGGCCCGGGCTTCTCCCCGCCCTGCTTCCTGTCTTTACCCGAGGGACAGGGCTGCAACCAGGATGGGGTTTTCCTGGGTGGCTCGGAGGTCTTCCTGCCCCTGAGGTCGTCCAGCTGCTGGATCACAGAGGGCTGTGTGTCCAGAGGGCGAGGCTCCGGCGGGGAGGAGGGAAGGGCACCGGCCCCGGCCCCCACCGAGGCGGGGGCTGCCAGCAATCTGAAATCCTCCTCCAGCCTGGACAGTCTGTCTCTCGGGCCATCAGTAGAACCCGTCACCTTGCCAAGCGAGGCTCCTTGTGAGGGAGCCGTCACGTCCCCAGCAGCTTCAGCTGGCGGTGAGCAGCAGAGACTGCGCTCCGTGTCCCCATCCGTGCCAGCCCCGGCAGGGACCTGTGTGCTTCCTCCCCCGTGGGGGTGCGGCCCACCCTCGGGGCTCCCGGTCCTCTCCTTCCGTAGGTCAACGGGGATGGTGCGCACCGCTGGGCCCTCTGCGCCTCCTCTGTCTAACGCACCATCAAAGATGAGGGTTTTGTTGACATAAAGCTTCACATTCTTGGCACCAATGTTAAGATCCTGGAAACACAAAATTTCACAAAATGAGGATGTGTGGCATTGGGCAGATGTATCAGACTTGGAAAGAGGAGATACCAGAACATACGAGTATGAAATGCTAGGAACGTGAGCTTTCTAAAACTCTGGCCCACGGATGTTAAGTGAGACCCCAACTCGAGCATTTCTGTGCATTTCTACCCCAAATCAAAGGGCTGTCACGAAGGGATGGCCTCAGTCGCGGCCCTCGCCATCATCACCTCCTGTGGGACATTTGCAGTCGCCCGCTAATTGGTCTCCCCGCTTCCTGGCTCTTGCTGCTTCAACCTCAATGTCACGTTGCCACCTGAGTTAATTTTCTGCCTCGTCACTCTCCTCTGTGAATCCATCACAGTTTTTCATTACTAACTGTAGCAACATTTTTAAAAGGATGGCTCCTGGGCCGGGCAAGTCAGAAAAGCCTGGTCTGCACAAACTGCCAGCTCCCGGGCCCCGAGCGTCTCAATTGGGCATCTTGAAAGGGTCTGGGACGAGGAACCAGCACAGGCTGCTGACTGGCAGCTGATGGCAGGAGAAGTGTGACGAGCACACAGAAGCCCCTTGTTCCTGCGGGGCCCCCAAGGAAACCACAGCGGGCACCTCAAGACGCCCCTCCGGAGCCTGGGGCGGGCCCTTCAGGCACTGCTGGCCGCACACCCACGGGAGCCGAGAGTGGGGATGGGCAGTGCAGCGTGCAGCCCAGGGACAGCTCCGCCCCTCACGGCGACCTCCCTTCAGCTGGGGCCGCGGCCTGGCGGTGGTTTCCAGGGAATCTCTGCACTCCTGACACGTTTTCCAGATAATGCCTTTGCACGGGGACGTGGGGTGAACTCTGAACCACTCGGCACGGCACCAGGCCATCTTCACACGGGTCCCTGTCTTGTCTCTTCTTCCCACGACACACACGTGTCGGCAGCTGTAAAGGCACCTCACTGTTCACGCCTGAGTCAAGAGCCGCCCCTTCCCCTGACACTTGCCCACCGCCTCGCTCCCCTCCACCACCCCCTGCTTGCCATTGCTATAGATCGTTCGCATTTTCTAGAATTTTTATATAAAAGGAATTGGGAAGTATATGCTCCTTTTTCACAGGGCTTCCTCTGGTCATCATAATCACTTTGAGATTTACCTAAGTCGGGTGAATCAGTTGTTTTCTTTCTGTTTACTGCTGGGGCCTATTCTATTCTACAGGGGCGACCCATGGTTTGTTCAGCGTCCCCGCAGTGAAGCCTGGGGAAACCGTCCCTACACCCCCTTCTCCCCTTGCTCTTGACCTTACTCCTGCTGGGCTTCTGTCCTAGGATGGACGCAGCCGGCTGAGGGACCCATGACTGGGGCAAGGACCGTCCCTGTTTGTCAGGGGTGGGTGATTCACACATGCGGTTTGGTCTGATCACTAAGGGAGCCCTCCTCACTCACAGGGCTCCTGTGGGGACAGCAGAGCTTGAGGCCGGCAGCCTGCCAGAGCCAGTGGGCAGTCTTGGTCCTTGGGTCCTGTAGCAGCCTGGCCACTGCTCTTGCTGCCCAGGCTCGGCCCCAGGCTCCCGCAGCAGACCTGCTTGTTTCTGCTCCCACCGTGCTGGCTGCCCTGTCAGCTGGGCCTGACCTGGCGTGCGGCCCCTGGCTTAGGGCTGGGACTCCTGACTCCCAGGGGAATCATCTAAGCCCCTAGGTCCCAGAGAGGGCCGAGGACTCCCAAGTGATTGCCTATCCAAGGGTGACTCCTCCACCGAGCCTCAAGGGACCTCCCACGCTCCTTGGGTGTCCAATGCTCACCCTAACCCTGACTTGCCCCAAACAGAATTCTCTGGTAATTTACCCCAAAACGATTCTTCTCCCATCCTTAACATAGGTCTGCTATTCAACCAATGCCAGAAACCTAGGTGTCCCCTTGATGCCCCTGATTTGTGCACCCCACCTGTCAACACGTCCCTTGGCTCACTCTCCAGATGCGCCCCAAACTTGACCTGTCCTCCCAGAAGAGGCCGCTGCCCTAGCCCAGGCCATCAGCGGCTCCCCACCTCACTGCCTCCACTCCACACGGTCACCTCCGCCTTCCCCTGCACATCACGCTCACCCCCCCCCCCCCCTGCACGCGCGCGCGCGCGCGCGCGCACACACACACACACACACACACACACACACACGGTTCATTTTTGATGCAGCAGCCAGAGCCTTTTTAAAAACAGCTTCAATCAGATCACCGCAGCCCCTGCTGAGAACTTCCCGGCGACTTCCCCACACTGACGGAGTCCTTGGCCCACGCGCCCGCGCCCGCCTATCTCTGCCCAGCTCCTGTCCGCTCGCCCCCAACCCACCCACCTGAGTGCTGCTCCCTGATGGCACCAAGCTGAGCCTGCACTGCCTGGAATTTCTGCCCTGGACACTGCGGCCCGCTCCTCTCCCACTCGGCTCTGCCGCAGCCCGGCCAGCACTCTCTCTCCCTCCTGCCGCACTGCTCAATTTCCCCTGCATCTCTGACAGGGCCTTGTGTCCTGAGCCGTGGTCTCTCCCACTTGAAGCTAAGCTCCTGGGCAGCAGAGATGCTACCGTCTTGTCGCGGGCCTGACACACAGCTTGGCACTGCTGTGGAATAAACACAGGCATTTTTCTCCCAAGCCCTGCCCTGGAAGAGTCAATGTGACCAGAGAGACGGTGGCCCGCTGGCCTCCCTCTCGCTCTGGCTTCTGATCTGCTGCATGAGATTGGTGAGCCAGAGACGCCCACCCACACTGAGCCCACTGCAGCCTCCCCGCGGGCTGGGTGAATTCGCGCCAGCCACTTTTCTCCCTCGCTCAGGGGCAGAGGCTCTGGAGCCACACAGACTCGGAGGCCCCCAGCCCTGAACTGGCGCAGGAACTCAGCTTCAATCATCCAATTGCAGGACGGCAGGCTGCTATTTGCCGGCTGTCAGAAAAGCCAATTCTCAGAGCGCTCTTTTCCATGTTTATACGGATGTGCTCTCCGTGTAGCGCGGCACAGAGCAAGCACGTGCTGTGAATTAATCAGGAAATAGCTGTTTGAGGAGGACAGCATGGGCAGCTTTCAACAACTAGTTCTACAAAATTACCACCATGGACACATCTGGCAAGACAGAAACACTCATTTCAAGAGAGGGCAGGGCAGTGGGGTGGCCTCGCGGACCGGCGTGTCAGGGGGTGGGCATTGTGGTCTCCTAACAAACGTCTGGCTGTCAGCATGTGTCCAGTTCCCTTCCACGAGTGGTCAAGAGCCCCATGTGGCCACTGCTCCCCGGGAAATCTTCCTAGGGTGGGGCGGGGAGCAGGCTGAGGCAGGCCTGGGGAAAGCCGCAGGAGGGAGGGAGGGAGGGAGGGAGCGGGAGCCTCTGGCCCACGTGATGTGACGAGCCCAAGCCCACACCGGACATGTCTCCAGCCCGCTGCGGGCCACAGAAGTCGCACTCGGGTGGACTCAGCCTGAGGCTCACTACAGGGGGACCTTCTGAAGGGACCTAGTGCCACTGGCTTCTCCAAGTTCAAGGGGAAGACTGCGTGCGCCACAGCACAGAACGACTCT